GGGAACCCGTTGAAACCTGTTCACGAAGGATTCTTTTTATAGTCTCGTGGACTATAGGGAAGGGAAGCGACCTGTGGAAACCGGGAAATGCACCAAACGTAGTGCGATCATCGTAACACCAACTGGATGATCGACGTGCCACAACACCTTAACTGGAGATCACAATCTCAACACTCACTGAATCAGTGTGTGAGATGGCTTCGCATGAGAAACAGCACATATTAGATTATAGTGCCAGGTACCATGTGATACTGTTCAACTGCCTTCACATGGGGTTGAACCAGTATCTTGTGATTTGACCTGTGGAGCACTAACCACTGTGCTATAGACCCACAGGTCTTTTTGTTATATTTCTTTATATTTTTTTTATATTTTTTTATAGTAAAAAATAAAATAATAAAATAAATATTCAAAATAAAAAAATAAATAACTAAAAAAACTAAAATAAATAAAATAAACAATAAAAATAAAAAAAATAATAAAGTTGAAGATCAATTACACATTTTAATAACTTTTATAATGTGTGATTATTATTTTTTAATATTTAAATCATATTGTCAATTCCTATTTTCTGTAATAATATTGTCGTGGGTCAGGATCTATCAGCAGTAACAGTGAAATCTTAGACTTCGTGACACTTCGACAGAGGTATTTGTTATAACAAAGGGGCTTAAAAACAGAAGGAGGTGTAGATTTGACAAGTTTGTGTGATTTGGAGGGATTTTATTGGTCAGAATAGTGTGATAAGTAGATTGATTTTAATACTCTTTTTATTGATTAATTGTTTTGCTCCTTTTTTTTTTTTTTACTATATTGTTTTTATACTTTTTTTTATAGCAAAAGAAAATAAAAGAAATAAAAGAAATAATAGAAATAAAAGAAATAAAAGAAATAATGAAAATAAAAGAAATAACAGAAATAAAAGAAATAACGAAAATAAACGAAATAACAAGATTGAGGGTCGATTACCCATTTTGGAAATCTCTATAATGCGTGATCTTCATTTTCAATTTCTAAGCCATATCGTCAATCATTGTTTCCCCATAACAATATACAATAAAATTTTTTTAACTTTGTTATTTTTTTAATTTTTTAAAAAATAATAAGATTAATTAATTAATTTAATAAAATTTAAAATTTTAAGAGTTACCAAAATATTTAAAAATATTGAAAAAAAAATGGTTTAATGAAAGTTATAGAATTTTTTTATAATATTAAAATAGTTTTTTATAATAAAAACCTGAAAAATAATTTATTTTTTAAAAAAAATTCAGGTTGAAAAAATTTGAATAATAAATAATAACAATATATTTTATTTTTTAATACATTAAAGTTAAATCAAAGAATAATATTTTTTTAATTATTATTAAAAATATTTTTAAATTTGTTATTATTATTAAAAAGAAATAAAATAATAAAAGATTTGTAAATATGTATTTTTGAAAGATTTAGTATATTTTTTCTTATATTTTATTATAACAATACTTTTTTTTAGCAAACCATAATTAAAAATTGACAAACTTATTAAAACTTTTTATAAAAAATTTTTTTAATTAAAGATAAGCTTTATATTAATTTTATAAAAAAAAATTTTTTTTAGTTAATAATTTAATTATCAAGCTAGTTATTTTTTTTATTAAGAATACATTAATTAAGTTATTCAAGTTATTCAAAAAAAAAAGAATTCATTTTTTGTTATTTAATTTGTGATTCAAATAATTTGAACAAAAACTATTTAATACTTTATATTGGTTGAGTGACGAAAAAGTTTCAGAATTTATATATCTCTTTTTATATGTTCATTCTTTATGAAAGTGTTTGTTTCATAATATATTTAATATATAATGTTTGATACATTCGGTATATTAAAAAATAATATCAAATATATATACAGTATATACTATATAGTTGATGTAACAAACCGCCAATTTTTAATATAAATGTTATTATATTTAAGTAAAGTTAAGCTATATTATATCAAAGTTAAGTCAAGAATATTGATTTTTATTTATTGTAAATTATTGATTACATTTAACATATTTAAAAGATGCATATTGATATAAATATATATTCTTGTAAAGAATATAAAACCACTAGTGATTCAAAATAATAAGATCATTGGAACTTTAGCAAAAGCATAAAAATATAAAGGAATACAGTACATGTACAAAGAAAAAAAATAGACAACATCCAATAACTTTATATTTTGTATAAGATGTTTACATCATTTTCTAACACATTCATCTCGTGCCAGACTCGGCGAATTCACCACTACACAGTATATAATAATATTTTATTATATCGTGTTTAGTTATGTTAAATTTTGTATCGCAATAATTTCATTACGAAATAATATTAGTACAGTATAGTTTGATCGCATTGCAACATTGCTAGAAATTAAATGGCGTATTTTAAACTTTAAAAAATTTAATATCGATAAATAGATCTTAAAATTGTAAAAAACTACACAGCGTATTACAATGTATTTTGAAATCATCCGCACAACAAATACAATTTAAATCAATTGTACCTGTCAACCTCAGACTAATTAAACACAATCTTTCTTTACGTATAGAGTTACCACGTGGGGTATGATATATTTTTTTAATTGGACACAACACAATGTCTATACTGTAATCCTGGAATATAGAAGATCCTGACGAGAGAAACTTTAATTTTACTGTATAGGAACTGATCGTCATATTAATCCAATGAGGATGGGCATACTCCGGATAAATTAAAAATCAATGTTAGGGGGTATATAAACAAAGACAAAGAAGGCAATTTTTAATTTTGTACTGGATCTTCAACATTAAGTAGATGTGACATTACAGTATTTGAATGTTCTTTCCATCTTTACGCCTAATTTGATAAAAGTTGAGAACCAATTAATCAACACTCGCCGTTAATTATACACTATATGTCTTTACCTACCTTATTCTGACGAAAAAGGGTTATTTTCTTGATCGTTCCTTTATCAAATCATATTTACATTACCTTGACCTTTAATTATTCTACTTTGGACACCTGTGAATTTAACATCAACCTTACAAGATGAAATTGGTTTGTTATTTCTCACCAATAGCGTGTATTATCTCGAATACTTGTTTAGATCTAATTTAACTGGATTGATCCCCTTGGAAGTACCATATCTCCAATGTCACGTTTGAAGGTTCTTTTACGTATTAATATCAAAGGCACAAAACCACCAACGTTATTTTGCAAATCGGTGATTTTTCTGTGTGATATAATTTAGTACCTTCTCCATAACGTGGAGGAATCGGAATTTCTTCTCCTGGAAAAATTTATTGACAAAAATAAAAAAGCACTATTTTTGTGGATCAAGCAATAATTTACATTGTGTAATGGCGTTTATATTTGTCTAATGAAATTTAATTAGAACTTTGAGCCCAAAAGTTAATGCTCTATCACTACATGTTGACTTTCGGTTATGCATTTACTCAACGGGGTTCATCATGTGGAAGGAAAGAAAAATGTAATTCATTTTTTGATGTTGTTATTTCACAGAATACAGACATAAAGCTTGTGATTAAAATATAAAAAATTCGCCAAAGTTTGACAGTTTAGGGTTAAACGTTTCTCCCTTTTAAGGATGAAAAAAATTTTTTACAGTTTTCGAATTTTTAATTCTCCTCCAAAACAGATTCAAGATATGACACCAATGCAGCTAATTGGTCCTTGAACAGTGAGTACAATAGTTTTGACGTTACATATATATTTGATGTCACGTGAAAATAAACATTGGTCAGGAGACATTTGGCCTATATAAGGTTTCGTTGCCATGTTGTTTAATAATCATCTAATAATGATTTTATAATTTGCGGTGGAAAGAATAAATTCTTCCAATCGAAAGTCCGTTATCTCAAAATTTGTAATTTTCAAATACGATTGTATCACCATATCAGTTGTTTGGTTTGCACGGAAAATCTTTCGATTTCCATTCTTAACATGTGGCAAAATTAGTATATGAAACATCCTTCGGTAGGTTTATGTTATAATACTCTCTTTCCGACATTTCATAATCTGCGAAGTTATAAATTTTAATTTTTTACCTATTGAAGTAATATATATACTTGGTTGACCCAAAATACTTTCTGAATAAACATCATTAATTATGCTCACGTCTAGCAACATAACACAACTTCCAACTTCCACGCAAAAATTTGGGAATACGATTTCTCCTTCTTCTTCCCTTTCGCCAACTGCACCCTCGGATATTCAAAATCCGATGGTGTTGAGCGTTATCATAGGAGCGGTAATAGCTTCGGTGCTGGTTTTTTGCGTATTACTGGCGTCAATTATTGTTTACTTTGATGTAAGAAGAAAAAAACGATCCAGACCGTCATTCAATATGAATCATATGGATAATCAAAATACAGATGCTGGACCTTCCACCCCGAATTACATATAGAATTCTAACGATTTCATTACGATTCTTATATATACAGTATATATTATATAATATTTAAAAATGAAGCATTGTCTATACTTTAGATATTACTTTATATATCACATCTATTTACATATGTAAATTTTGTTGTTAAATCTGTCGAAAATGTTTATACAGACGGATTATTGATTTTTGAGTGTATTTATTAAATAATTTAACAAGTGAAGATCAAGTAAACTGGTTGCGTTTAAAGTTTTCATATAGCGAATAAAAACGTTAGCGTTTTTAAATTCAGAAATAGCATAAAATAATGGTGTATAATAAACCTTAAAATAATCTACTTTCAATATACAGTGCAATAAGATTTTTGTAATGTTTAATTGATCGAAACAATAAATTTTAATAATAGATAAAAAATATATACGTGATAATATGCAAGTTCATGCTTTTTCTAAAGAGATAATTTTTATGCTTATCTATAAAAATGACTTCTAATATCGCACAGTACATCTAAAATCATTCAAATCTTATTAAATAATAATGATAACGACAATATAAAAATCTAATAAATATTTTGAAATTCACTGTATCGAAGATCATCGATATTTATAAATCAAATATGATAAATACTGCAATAATGTAAAAAGGTTTGTTACTTTCTTTGATTCGATTTTTATTGTTGTTTTTATTAAATGTACGTATTTGATTTATTATTTATTTTTTTCTTTCCAATCCATGCTAATATCACATACTCGTTAAATATTATACAAAAATTGTATCAATGAGATATTATAATATACTGTATTTATGCAAGCTTATCAAGTTTCATATACGATATAAGATCAAAATCAAAAAACCTTATAAATTATTACAAATAATCTTGCAATATGACAACAATCCAAATTAGATATATTGTAGTTAAAAAAAACTATTTGAAAAATTAATCTAATAATTAATTTTTTTTTTCAAATTCTTTTTTTCACTTGCATTTAACTAAGTTACTGGATTTTCTCCAAGAATTTTATTAATTAAAAATATCTAAAAATACTTTTCAAAAAATTTTTATTCAAAAATTTGATTTTTGTTTTTGCTATTATAAATCTTTACAAAGACTATTATTCTTTTTAATATTTATTTATAGGAATTTAAAGTTACAAACTATTACTTACAGTTATTACTATGGATCTAAACAATCAATATGTAATTTATTTTATAATTCCAATTATTTTTTTTCTTGAATTCATTTTCAAATTATACATGTGATATAAATTATTTGGTGTTGACTCAATTTCCAAAATCCTCAAAAATAATTGTATCATGACTCAATTATTTATATGTTTTAATAGTGACTCAA